TTGCAATAAGTGAATTAGGAATTCAATATATAGCCTCATTTACTACCCACTACTGATTTATTCTGAGTGCATTGTCCAGGATGTACACTTAATGAGGCAAGGGTTTTACAGAAAAAAATAGTTTGTCATCATGTAATTAAACACTACATCTTAAGCTACACATACAAGAAGGGCTGATTTAAGGTTGCATAAGCTATCTTGGTTTGATGTTTCTGAAGTGCATTGAGCTTAGTTTTGCAATCTTTTTATATAGTTGTTATGTAATAATGTTCTATTTGAAAATTTAACTTAAATCAGGAAATGTGTCTTTAGACTATTTGGATTATGGTGTCCTAATTTTATTATTTCTTACATCAAAAAGAAATTTAAATAGGAAGCTTGGCTCAGAATGAGTGTCGACACAGAGATTTGTATCAAAGTAAGTGATAGTGTGAATACAATCAGTTCAAGTACTTTGGTGTAGTTTATAGGCAACATATGGTGTCACTATGCAATAGTTTTGTCTTGTGTTTGACACACCAGTCTAAATCCTGATCTTATTGAATTCAAGCAGTATTTAACTATTTGTTTAATGGGCAGGACTAGTATTTGACCATATGACATTATTGAAATCTATGCAGTCAAATGACTTATTCTTAAAACATTAAAATTGTATGGTCCTTACTCAGGAGCATATCCAATTGAAACAGAAAGGAGCTTCCTTTTTTATTGTTTTATTTATTTATTTTAAAAGAAAAAGAATGAGGGTATGCACAAATAAACATTTTAGTCACTTTGAAGTTTATGGGAAGCTGCTGCTTGCGGCATATGACAGTTCTTACGAGATCTGTTTGCATTATCCTGCAGCATTACAAGATAGCTAAATCACCCGATCTTGGCCCCTGTCTGAAAAAGGTTTAACGTTCAAGCAGATGCATGACTCCTGTCATTTCAGAATCATACAGTTGTAATAATTCCATTGCAAAATCTTTTATTGGTATCCTATGATATCAATACAACTGTTATATCTGTCTTTACCCTGAATTAACAATTACAGGTCTCTCTCCAAACGATGTTCAGTTTTATTATATGCACAATGCTATTGAATATATCAGATTTAGATAATTTCATTATATAGATTGGGCAGTAGCATCACTGAAAAAGACAAATATTTAATACAATTATCTATTTAATTATTAGGTCCTAATGTTAGCCAAGAGACCAGTTTTCCCCTCCCCTGCACCTACTTCCATCAAAATAAGCACAGTTGGGTAAAGCAGTGTAATGCTATTCACATTTTTGTTTTGTTTTCCAACCATTCATGTCTTCGCTGTTACAGATCACTCCAAGGTGTATGACAGTTATGAATCAGGCACATAAAAATGTTTGAAAATAAAAATGAAGTCAGTGGTCAATGAGAGCAGAATGTGCAGTAATGTACCTGGGGAAAAACATTAACTGATATATCAGAAAAAGCCTAACCACAAAAAGATACATGTATGTCAGCTATTAAACCGAGTGTAGAAAGATCTTCACAGAGATATTCATGGCTGAACTTAGCACTCACTTCTCAAAGATGGTTTAGGGCTGTTAAAATTAGCCATACAAAACTCCTTTTTTTTAAAAAGGCATCCAGAATTTTCTATATAAATGTTCTGTAATTGAGTCTCAAATATGGCACATGGAAAATTGCCCCAAGGAAGGAAAATAATATAAATGAGTTTTATTGTTTCAGGTAGTTTAAGAGTGATATAGCTGTGATGGTCCAGAAAATATGCAAGAGGAAAGGTTTTTTGGGGGTGATATATTTTATTGGACCAACTATGCAGTTGGGAAAAAATTAGACAAGCTTTCAAATACTTGTTTAACTTATCCCAACTATACAGTTGGTACAATAAAATATATTCCCCTAAGTAATATCCCTTTCACTCTCCCTGCAAATGACCTGGCCACTGCATCATGTAATTAAAAACTACATCTTAAGCTACAGACACAAAAAGGGCTGACCTAAGGTTGCATTAGCAATCTTGATTCTGATGTTTAGGCATTTAATTTCCAATCTGTATCCAGAACATTTAATCCAATAAAGAAGTATGACTTTTCCTACTATTAGTAAATGGATGACTGAAAACCACAAAAATAATTTATCCACTCAGCCAATTACTTGTTTAGGGAACAACAAAAAAAAAGGAAAGGAAAAAAAAATCAGAGCAGACTGGCATTCCTAATTTGCTGTTAAACAGATTACATGTACCTATTTAGAAAGAGGATTTGGGGCAAATGTATTTCTTTGCTGGCTTGGAAATATATATAAGCATTTTTCTAAGTTTTTAATGACTTTGAAGGTTCCTAGGGTGATTTCTGCCCCTGTCCTTTGATTATCTCTGCCTCAAAGAAGTACTCAACTCCTTCTATATGTCGGGTCTGACATTGAGGTGAACCAGTAAAAGATTTATATCTCTACATTGGCCTAGAACCTTACCAGGATGAGATAACAGAACTGATCTTTTTTTAGTATCCCAGAACCAGATATTGCTACAGTTTCACAACAGGTCAAAGAGAAGTGTTTATTACAATAATTGTAGGGGTTTACATTGTCAGCTGATCAGGGCTATGCTCAGGGAAGTCCCTTTCACCTCTCTCCCTGTACCTTCTTTGACTCTAGGGGTCCCACCATTCGGCACTGTTGCACTAGATTTATGACCCAGATACCTTGTGCCACGTAGACCCAAACCCTCAGACCAACCACAACTTTTTCCATTCAATAACAGGCAAATGTTATTGATACACAGTGACATTAGATATGAGTAATGCAGGCAAAGCAAACAAAATAACACCCCCAGTTTCTACTCCCTGTACAGTTTCTGTACAGAAACTCTGTACAGAAACTGTACAGTTTCTACACCCACCAGTCCTAAGGCAGTCAGAGGGAGAACAGTATGCCTGCCTAGTACATGAATGTTACCCTGTGGTTCTTGCTTAAATGTCAGATGTCAGCAGCCTGGAGGTAAGGGCTGGGGGAAAAAGGGCCTGATGGTGTGCCCTCTGTCAATGGTGACCTCAGAATCCTCACTTGGGGACATTTTGCTGCTCTGAAATCCCTCCTTTTGTATTCCTTCTCCTCTGATGACTCTTTATTTCCGGGTGTCATTGATTGGTCTCCCTGTTGTCATCATACTGTCCACTTTCTGTTCTGTCAGCATAATGCTTTGTCTCCCAAACCCATCACAAGCATACATCTTAACTTAGTCATTTACCGGTGTCTTAATGTCAGTATGTCTGGGCTCCTAATTTGGTCATTTCACCAAAACTGGAAATCCTAGGGGTTTTGCAATTGGGTACTGTTACCTAATGCCGCCTTATCTCAGGGTATGGGTACACTGTTCATGTTTTCAATTTCCCCAGCCTGTTTGTCTGATAGCTCCAGACACAGTGGGACTTAAAGGCTGAGACTGTGATACTTTGTCACAAACAGGCTTTTAGAAACCAGTTAACCTTTGCTGTTCCCCTGAACCACTGTTCTAATGCAATATCTACTTTACTTCAAGCCAATTCGTAAAAGCAAATCTCTAAATATCATTTTCTAGCCATCAGGCACCACACAGCAGCAGCAGCTGAACTTCATTCACTCACAGCATATGTAGAGTTTGATATCTGGGAATGCCTATATACATGCTCCAATGCGTTCTAATTAGAACACATTGGAGCAGACTCAATTAATCAAGTCTGCTCTGTGTTCTAATTAGAATGCTCTAGCATCATTGCAGCTTCATATATATAAGTCCCTGTGGGTTTAAATATGGCCACTGGGTTCAATAAGCAACATTTAGTTAAAGCATCAAGTGACCATTTTTAAATGTGTGGGGGCTTAATACACATGACGCTGCAGCAATTTAATTAGAGTGGCTCTCCAGGAACTGCTATAATTAAAATGTCCTTCCCCATCCATAAGCACATGTGGAGGCAGCCTGGAAGGCTATACTGGGTCACTTTTTACCATGCACAGTAAATCAAATTGAGTTATGGATCTTTTCAGGCTAATATGGAGGCTTGTGAGGAATATAGATTATAGGGAAATTGTAGTTATATCAGAATTTTGACTGAGGTGTGAAGTGGAATAACATCACATTTAGTGAAAATCTACATAATTGCCACTTAGCCACCTGAAAAATAAAACAGGATATGGGCCAAAATTTGTTGGATCCATATTATGGAAATAGTCTTTTATTGTAACATGTACAGGACATACTTTAGGATGTCAGTGGGAGCTCTGCACATGTAGGCAAAACAGTCTATAGGAGATGACATTTTCCATGTGTACCTGAGAAGAGAAATTTGCCCTGAGAGAGTTCCTTTCAGTGAGGTTTTTCTTTCAATGCAGCAGTAACTTCTCTTTTAATTGAAAATGAACCTTGATGACAATGTTAGAGAATAAAAATTTCCAAGAAACAATCTGAAACTGTATGCATGAAACATTCAATCAATGGTACAAAAAATGGTGGCAATTGAGCAAAGTATTATGAGAAATTCTTGTTTTATTTTCTCTGTGCAGGCTGACAATTTATGCAAGATACAGTTAAACATTGATTGCAGAGTATTTTTTTAAATTACATCATTCCAACTTTATGACAATTTGTAGAGAAGAAATTATTATTTATTACTGCACATTTTATGGACCAATTAAAATTTATTGGGGACCAATAAAACATTTAATGGAGACTAATTAAAATTTATTGGAAATATGTTTTGAAAAGACTTGACTTTTTAAGAAAAAAATGTTACCCTATCATGATGAAATCTGATAATTGTTTAGGGCAAGATTACATAAAATTATAGATAAAAGGAATTTTTCACAATTAAAATCTCTGCTAATATCATGAAAGTTTAAATTACTTTTAAAAAGTAATTACCTTTGAATTAATTGATTTAAACAGAGATGGACAAATATATTAGGCATTTATATTTTTACTATAAACGGTCTAATTAAGTCTTTTTTTTTTTTTTTTTTTTTTGGTAGTTTGGTAGCCACAAAGGAAACGGACAGTGCAAGATCTCGTAGCATGCCAATGTCGCCATCTGACTTTCTGGATAAATTAATGGGTAGGATGTCAGGCTACGATGCAAGAATTAGACCAAATTTCAAAGGTAATTTCTAAACCTAATTGTTTCTGTTTAAGTGAAAATTTTCTTTTACGCAAATGTGTATTTTGGAGGAGAAAATTAAAAGGTAAACAAATGTATTCTCATTTCAAACTATGCCATGCTCAATTTTCCTATGATGGACCTTTCAAATAGCAACAAAAACCAATTCAACTGCGTGTTGAAGTTTGGACAAAAATTGGAATAACTACATGCTACTGAAATACCTAAATGCTAATGTTGTATTCTGATTATCTTTGAAGTGATATGTATATAGTCAAACCTAAATGTCTAAAAACACACACCAGATATCCATATCAGATAATGTAGACAAAGAATTGAGACTAAAATCAGAGCAGGGCACACACACTAAGCCATATACACCGCTTTATTGCCAGGCTTGGGAATGTACAGGACAGGGATGAGTGAACAGGGTTTATTTCCTCAGCACTAGTCTCAGTGGGAACATGGTATGGACATGGCCTTAATATCCCCATGCTTCAATTCTCCACCTATACCATTTTTCCAGCATTTTTTGGTTTTACTATAAATTCTTTGGGGTTGGGATTACCTGTTACTAAATATACCTATAGTGCTTATTACACTAGGTTTCTAATCTTATTTGGGGCCTCAAGGTCAAACCACAATGCTAATATTTAATCATTCAAGATCATCAGCACAAAGTCCAATTACGAAGGTTTTTTAATATGGTACTAATAGAATACTCTTCAGACATATCTATACAGCAGGTACCCCCAATAAGCATACCCAAGAGTGTTTATAGGCACATGTACAAACAACACAATGCTAATGCATTTTGGGGTGTACTATGTGTAGAACAGGAATGCTCAACTTAATTATGGCATTCTTTAGCATGATTCTCTGACAATGTCAACATGCCTTTGTAGTCTATCAGGCATACATTGCAAACTATAATTATCCCCATGATCTGTTGGAATGGAAACAGAACTTGAAACATTAGAGAGTTCCTTCAGAATTGTTTAAAGTTATGTTTAAAATGTAAATGTTCTAAATGTTTTATTAAACAATTTACAGCATTTTAGAATTTGATTTGAATTGCTTTAATTGATTAATTTGGAAATTCTGCAAATTTTCAAATATGCAGCACATGTAGAAGGACAAATCACTGTGACTAAAGCTCACAGCTTGCATTCTTTTAAATGCATTCTCTGTCTCCTAGGCCCTTTTTTCCTTGTTTCAGAAGGCTCTCTTTCCTTTATTTTCCAAGGCATATTCTGTAAATAAGGGATTTCTTCCCATTTCTGCCATCAGATCTTTTCCTCTCAAAATAAGACCATTCTCTGTTTTACATCATTTAGGTCTTTCCTTTCACTATCATCTCAACCTTACCTCTTCTTCAACACTACATTTTATAATGATTCTAATGACACCAAGGATCATCAATTTGATTGATTATGTCCCTGAATTCTCAATAGTTTCTCTTATTTACTTACTTTCTTTGCCCAATCATTAAGGTCTAAACTACTACAGTTTAGTGTTCATCCACTGTAAAGTAAGAGAAAATATGAAGAGTGATAATAGAGTACCTGATACTTAATAAGCTCCTACGTTGTTTTATTTCTAAGTATTTAGTCTTCATGCATATGTCTACAAATGATTTTACTAGAACAGTCAAACTGCTTCCTAAAAATAAGGATTTAAAGGGATAGAACAGAAACAGTATATATAATTTATTTTTTTAAATTTGCTTCTCCCTGGATATGTTTAAACCTTTATTCTTGATTAGCACTGAAGTTGCTCAGAATAAATAATCATTGTTTATTGGAAGTATTTGTTAAAATCATCAGAAAGATATGAAATATTACTCAATGTACACTGGTCAACAATCCCTTACGGATTATTTGCCAATACTAATGATGAGAGAATTCAAATGGTTAGCTTCTTGCTTGTGTGGATAGGGAAGAGAAACATTTGTATTAAAAACAAAAGCTCATACTGTCACATAAAACGTGTTGTACTTCCAAAATTGTGTCCCTTTGTATGTAGCATATTTTAATTATTTTAGCTCCTTGTTAAATCTTAGCTCAGTTACACACCATAGCTGTTGCCTTTAGTATGTAAACTTTGGGTTCAATCTAAGGCAATTCTGTGCTATGCAACAAAGGACCTCCAGCAAATAAAAACAAGCAATGCAATCTCTTTCTTCTTATTCTTTGAATCTTCTAAAGTTCTATAAGAAAGTAGATGGAAGCAAGGAGCTTAAGGCTTAGCAATTCATTTGAAGACTGAATTTTGGAGTTTGTCATGGACACCATGCAATCATAATCTTCTGAAAAGGCTACACTACAGAATGGGGCAGATGTTTAGTAATTAGTGGATTCACTATAGTGATTCTTGAATGTGTAATTCAAAGGACCAAGAGCCTTCTTTTGTAACCACTGAAATTTAAAGAGGCAAAAACCTAATTTGACATTTTTCAAACTGCATAGCTGTCTAAAAGATTTACAGTGTGCACTTTTAGGAAAGAGAAGAACAAATCTGCCTAGAATGATTCAGATCTATCACTCAGAATAAATACCTTCTTGAATGACTTTGCCACTTTCTTGCTATTTTTATTATTCCAAGGCCAAGTACTGCCAGTTGGAACTTTATGTCCCTTGAATTTTGTACCCTGTCAACAATTATATAAGATGAAATGTGTACTATCAGTTCTGTTAAAATTTGGTAATTTAATCTTTTAATTTCCTGGTCATTGCAATAATATCTTCCTCATTGTTACAATTAATTTTAGAGTCCTTTGCAGTTGTATAAATGCTAGTCTAGATACACACATGCTTAAGAGAAAATATAGCTTAAAAGAGCTGCAGAATCAGTGACCACTTCTGATCTAGTTAATAATATTAACATTGTAGAACCTGTTTGTCTGTGGACAAAAACAGCAGCAAAGAATCCTTGGTAATAAACTTTGTCCCAGTTATAGGCTATCAAAGAATAAGCAAAGTCTACACTCAGTAACAGCCAAAGGCTTCTGTAAACATATCATTAATCAGTAGAGCTCAACCTTTTTAGTCAGCAGGTCAGATGGGCAGTGCCCAGGCTGTCTGCTGACCAGATCCAGCTGATGGTTGGCATGGGGCAATTGCAGCAGGATGCTGCACAGAGGGGGGCAGGGGACATCTCAGCTCCATCCTGGCCCTGTAGGGGGGAGGGAGGGGCATGGCACAGACCCTCAGGGGAAAGGGGTGTGGCCTAGACCCAAACTAGCCCCACAGAGGGAAGGGGTCTTGAGCTGGTCCTGAAGGATGGTGGGGAATGGGGTTTGAGTGATCCTCAACCTGGTCCCACGGGAGAAAGGGGCCATGGCCCAGATCCATCTAGCCTGTGAAGAGGGGCATGGCTGGTGGGGGTGGGACCAGCTATGAGGGCAGGGGAAAAGGCCCAACTTGTTGCATGGAGCTTAGGGTTTGGGAATTTGGCTACAAAGAGTAGCCGTATTTATTGCCACTTCTCCCCTGCCACCAAATTTCCCAGTCCTTTCCACTAATCTGTGGAGAGCCCCCTGGGTTGGATACCTATGATGCCATGGGCTGGATTTGGCCTACAGGCCAGAGGTTGAGCATACCCATTATAAATTATTTCCTTCTGTAGGCATGATGAAAATTCTGGGTTCTATATCACTGCTTTCCAAGTTTGGATCAGTTCTAAAATAGTTTTTTCAGTCAAAATGATCAATAATTACACTACAAGTTTTCATCGAATAAGAGCTTCAGGATCAGACCTTCAAGTGTAGGCCTTTTCTTCAGATGACAATGAAAGGACAGGCTGTATGTTTCAGGAAAAGTGTGATGGGCCATTATCTACTTCATAATTTGGATATTTCTGCCAATAAGCATGGGAAATTTAGTGTAACATGAAAACAGTAGATATGATGCCTTACTTCATGTAAAATTTAATATCGAATACTTTAAAATAACCCCCCCTTTTCAAGTAAAAACATCATTCATAAGTTGTTTATTAGGTATTTCAACCTAAGATGTAGAAAGTATTCCTCAAGTACAGTCGAATACAACAAATATTAACATGTTGGAATTTCCATTTTAAATCCAACTCTAGGTTTATAATGATTTTCAATACTAAAATCTGTGTGTCTATTTCTCAAATACTATATACTGGTCTAGATCCTTGATTTAGTTGTTTCCATTTGATACTCAGATGAAGAGCATCATGCAAATACAGCCTCTAATATTTTGACACACGGGACTTTTGGTCCCAATACATCACTTCTGAGTTCTCCATTTCTCCAAGTCACTCAGAAGAGTGACATTTCTTTAGTATTAAATAAGATCTATCTAATCATACACTTCCTTTTCTACTGGACAGTAGAGAAAATAAATTTGCTCAGCGGGTCTTGAAACTAGAAATATGAAAGCTTTTTTCAGTCTAATCCCATCTTTCAAGTAATACCTTGCTTCTTTAGTAGGTAATGCTCTTGTGACAGTCAGTTTCCAAAAGGGACCTTTATTCTAACTTCCACATCCACTGAAGAGGACTTTCATAAGGAAAATCTCTTTGGGGAAACAAAGATAATAATTTCTAGCCAGTGGAAAAAGAGTACATACTTGTCAGTTGGTATATGTATACAGCATTATGAAGGTATTATTGTAGACATGTTAGCACAAGTAACAGTAGCAATAAAGGAAACAGTAGCATAGGCCTCAGGTCATGACAGACTATATACCCATATCCATGTCTCCAGGAGCACTTGCATACTACTATCACACCTTCATCTGTTGTATAGATATACCCTATCACAGTGACAATGGCCCCTTCTGTCACAGTCAACAACAATAGGTCTCTGAGTGAGGAAGTGTCAGGTTCTTCTCTTCTTCACATTTTCTGTTAGAAGACTTGACTTGCTCCATTTAGGTCAGATTAAGCTTGACAGTTTGGCAGTTACTCCTTATATTGACAAAGATGATTTCATCAAAAAGCAAACAGACTAATATTCTTATTGTATTTTGATGCTTTTAAAAATATCTTCATCTAGCATCTAACAGAATCAAGATTTGATTATACGCCTTCAAAGGTGCATGGCTTAATAGTTATTCCCTATAAAAATAAGAGACTCTTTCTTTGGCATACACTTAATTTGGATCTTTGAACCCCAGTGGGAAAATTCTTTTTCACCTAACAGCCAACCAAAATAAAGCTTAAGACTGACTCTGAGTTATGGACCCATTGTGTAGGAGTACTTCCATTAACCCCTCTGAGCATGTAAATACTCCCATTATAGGAACAAGGAGATGTTTATTCAGCTCTGGAGAGCAATCCTGCTTCTATAATGGAGGTGCTTACATGCACCAAAGAGGTAATAGAAGCACCTGCATACTGTAGTCAGGTAACTCAGTTAGTCTCAAGCTGCATTATGATCATCTATGAGGTGAAACAGAATCTTCTCCGGCCCCCAGTATGTGTTGTATGTGTTGTATTCCACATAAAAGTTATTTGATTTGGGCTTTTGTTCCTACTTCCTTAATTCCCTTACATTTTGACAAAACAGAAAAGCACTCCACTTACTATCAGTCCCAGCTTAGTTAGAATATTTTTATTCCCTCACTTTTAAAGGCAATCTTGTATGCTACCTGTAATTTAATTTATCACAACAAGAAACTATTAAGAACTCAAGAAATTGAACTTAACAACTTAGGATCACTTAGAAATACAGGAAAATGAGTTAGCATATATGTAAAGAAGAGCTTCCCTTAGGTATTAAATCTAGGCTATGCTATTTGTATTAGATAAAGTATTATATTTAATGTTTAACTTATTTTTAATTATGGAAGAGTTTCTGATCGAGTAGAAATTTATTATTTATAATTGATATGACAGCATATCCACTTTCAAATAGTATATGAATAGTATACATGCTGTTGTGAATTGGAGGAAATAAGTGATTTTGAAAGGACAGCATGCAATAAGCCATAAAAAAAATACCTACATCTTGGGAATGACAGGATGAAAACTATTTATACACAAATCAGATAATTTCACCACCCAGTACAGCTGTTTATTATGGTTCCAAGTGTTCCCACTGCCACCCGTCTGTGACTTTGGATTCCTCTTCCTACTCCTTTCCACTAATTCTCTGATCCAATCAAGTCTTATGCTGAAATAACATCTAGCAAAGGAGGCTGTCACCTGCAAAACTTAATCCATTTTGAACAAATTAATCTCTAAGGTGCAACCTTGCTCTACATTCTGACTAAAATAAAAAAAAATGAAGGCAGAACAGGTTAATTAGAAACTAAATTATCACATTGCATTGATAAGTAGTTGGAAAAAGAAGAATCAGTGCCTTCCTATTTCTCAGATGTGCTTCCTATGTGTAGTCATAGCTGTTCATTTTACTGACAAAAGTATGTCTAGTAGTGTACTGTAAAGCAAATATAGCCTGAAGAAAGGAGACCTGGTTCTTTTCTGATTCATACATCATCAGCAGAATCATTAACTCAAGCTCTAACCTCAAACATTTGATATTGAGTGCATTGCTTTCTGCTCTCAGTAATCCCATTGACATCAGTCAACAGTGAAGCATCATCAACAACAGGGCTATTACTTCAACAACATTACTTTCAGTGAGAAAATCCAAATGTTGGTATTAAATATTTGCAGATTTAGGCCCTAAATTCCAGAACTGGAGTGTGTATTACTAGTGATCAAATGCAAAAAGTATCCAGCTTGCCTTTCAAATTCCACTCTCAGTGGGTGCATTTACATGTGCACTTTACTGTGAGTTGACTAATTAGCTCTGTAGTAAAGTGTCACCATCTACCTGTGCACCCATATTAGGGTGCAGTAAAGTAACTCTGCCCTAGGATAGTAGTGTCCAGGGCAAGTACTATCCCATAGTGGAGTAATTTACACCACTGCAATGCACATACAGATGGTAACTGAGGCTGACTGGGGAATTAGGGTGCTACAGTGCAAGGGCTATCTGCCCCCCCAGACCAGCTGCTAGTCCAGGGCTGCTCCACTCTGGCTCAATGTGCTACAGTCCTGGGTGCACATGTAAAAGCTGCGCCTGGGAGAAATTAACTCTGGTGCAAACTGCCCTAACTGCGTAGGTAGATGCACCTAGTTAGTAGACGGCACTAGGACTAGCAGTTAAAACCTTTATTTCACTTGTAAACAAAATGAATTTGCTATAGAAATAACTAAATGACTAGAATGAAACTCCATGATACCATTTTTCCAGTAATTTTTAGAGAAGTAGGGTAAATCTTTCTCTTTGAGAAGATGATTAATTTCTTAGATGTTACACTATGAAATAATGCTCTGCCAATAGAAAGGCTGCAGAGATTAAGGATGAAAATATGGCAACTGTTGATTGAAGGTAATGGGACTGCTCCTGATAACAAGCACTCTATTTTGTAATAAATGGTAGCAGAATGAACCTTAAAATTCTGTGGATGTCATATAAATTATAAGAGCCTAGCATATTTTCTACTGGACTCAGAACAGAAAGCAGTAATAATGGGCACCTATACGCATGCAGAGAGGCTGCTCTGATGCACTGTAATTACAATGCATTGAAGGAGACTCAATTAATCAAGTCTGCTGGAACATGGTAATTACTGCACTCAAGCAGACTCCAGCATCACGTGTATCAGTGTCCCCAGGCTGAAAAATGGTGGCACAGGCATTTTAACTAAAACTCATTCAACAAGCTTTAGTTAAAACACCCCTGCCACTATTTTTCAGAACAGGGACACTGATACACATGACACTCTGGGCACTTTAATTAAAGCAGCTCTCAGAGCTGCTCTAATGTGCCCCCCTCCCCACTACCACCTCCCAGACCATGTCTATAAATGCCTAGTGTCTTTTTGTTACTATTGGTAGCAGGTAGGATTAAAAAATGTCAGATCTGTGATGTAAAAGAGAAACTTTATTTCCAATTACTGTGAAGGATGGTGATGTATATTATTCCACCAAAACTAAGAAATAAACATTGTTTTAGGATAGTTATCTAGTATAACTCCAATAAAAAACACATTCATTCTGGCATGTGATCTTCTTTCAAGGTATCATGATCTCTTTTTTTCCCCCGAGCTTGGAGTTTTGCTACAAATGGCAAAACAATTAGTGAACCTTTAAGAAAAAAAATCAACCTTATAATATTTCAAGCACTTAAAATGACATCGCTAATCAAACTGTCTCACTTCATTAAAAACAGAATTCCGAACATAACTTTATATTCTTTCAAGTCATGCAAGCCTTGTTTTATCATAGCTCACTCTAATATACGTTGAAAGTCACACAAACCTTTGATCAGCACAGCAATGATTCTGGAAAAGATTCTTTTTTTTTTCTTTTGCAGGCCCTCCAGTTAATGTCACATGCAACATTTTTATAAACAGCTTTGGATCCATTGCAGAAACAACCATGGTAAGGCATTTTACCTGAAACAACATTTAAAAGTTCAAGTTCAACTAATTTAATGAGCTGAAGAACAAATTAAGTCCTCTTTTCTGTTGGAGCAAAAAGAAGAATATCTCTCTTTGATAAAGAAAGAACATTTAACTCAGCAGTAGATTTAGTTGATAGAAAATCTATCATTTTATAGTTACCATGCTAGAGGATATATCTGAAATGATAAGGCCCTTTTCATGCCTTCACTGCTGTCTGTCATCAAATTCATGGTTTGTAATTTTTATATTTGAATGATAAAAGTTATTAAAGCTCCATAGCCTCCATCAAAAGTTATACATTATCAAATGTCATTATTAACTATATTCTGTTATGCTATTATATAAAACAGATGTGTAAGAGATAAAGACACACACTTTAAACAAAGAAAATCCTTATTTTACAGTGATATTACATGTGGTATATCATAATTAAACATCGCACCAATGTAAAGAATGTTACTGTGAAGTTCTAAATAGGGCACATATCATTTAAATTCACTCTGACTCTTTGACTAGACTGATGATCATAGGAAAGCCAGAGGATAGAGTACAAAGGCTGGTTGGAGGCATGAAGGAAATTACAAGAAAAATGAAACTTAAAAATCAGTAACAGTATAACCTGCTTATATATAAGGTTTATTTCTTTAAGCCCGAGACACCCAAATGAATCAGAATGAAGAAATACCTTAATAAAGTACAGAAATGTATTTTGAGGATAGTAATGGAGAATGTGTGGAGAAGATGGAACAAGGTATTGCAGAAAATCTAAAAAGAACCTACATGTAAATGTGGTATTTACTTGTATACCACATGTCCCTGAATATGTAACAAACCCCATTTTGGTAAAGCAGAATTAAGAAAAAAATTCCAGAATCTTACTGGCCATAGCTCAGGCTTACCATGACTGAATTCTCCTAACCATATGGAGTAGCTGGCATTTTCCAGGGTACATTTTGAGCCTAACAAGTACTGCCTTGAGTTTAATAAGGTTGAAAACCATTGTTCTAACTAAACCAAGTGGAGCAAAATACAAATTAGGGAAGTCATTAATATTTATCCAGAAGTGCCTCTGACATTTAAACCATCAGTACCACAATGGTGTATACACCTAATGTGTCTATTTTAAAGATGTTAGCCTATACCTTTAGCAAAAACAGCTATAATCTCTATTGTATCAATGTACTGGAAATATATATTGTATATGCTTTTTTTATAGTGATCAAAATCTCTGAGCTCCATCTGCTGTTTTAGTTATATATTACATAAGAAACAACTGACTAAAGTTAAAGATGGTATGTTATACCAGTTGCCCACATTCTTTTAATGGCAGAATGAGCCTTGATACAAATCATTGCACCTCTCATACTACACACACAATATTTGTTACTCAAATTGCCAATTGCTCAAATCACGAGCAAAACTTTATAAAGGGGGATAAAGCAAGGTGCTGCATTTATTGATCACATGAGTTAGACAGAGGTTTGGGCACACCATACATATAAATGCACACAAATCATCACACACAGACATACATATAAACAACCATTTATATCCACACATACACCAGATATAGTTACCAGCAATAGTTGCTCAATATCAGCCCAGGGTGGCCAACTCAGGCTTACTGAGTAGATGATGATGACTTGAAGACAGCAGATTTGAAGATAACAGCTGGAGCGGGGTGAACAGATGCATCTGTACTCCGATGAAACAGCAGTAGAGAAAGAGACTCACCCAACTTGGCATTTTCAAAGTTTTCCTTTATAGGGATTGGCATCCTTTTTTTAGCTTTTTTTGGTTTTTCTATACCCAGCTTCTATTGTTGTGTTTGTTCTTCTTTTGTCTTCAGCTTATCTTAGCCTTGGAGTGTTCTTGCTGCCTGTC